TTGTTACAGGGCACCCCAATGTGAATTGGGTTGCCTGTCTGTGGGTCTTCACCCGCGTGCTTACGATTCAATCGTATTATGGACACACTTCAAAAGGTTAAATAATGGATTTATTTATAAGGAGAAAGGTAAAGGGATAGCCCAGGGAAAGAGGGAGAGAAACACAGGTTAACTAGGATGTCCTACCAGTTCTGCTGACGTGGACTCCACCCTCACGCTGAAAACCGATTGAGCGCCAAAACGATCAGCTGTGAACCACCAGGCCAAGCCCCCCTCAAGAGCCCACATGTCCGGTTTTATCCCAACCTGGCTGCTCAGCTCTGCCCTCACGTCCCGGTGTGCTTCTTCTTGGTACTGATGGGATTTGGAGTTCCAGCATGGAGTGGGGGCGGAGTCCGTGAAACCTGTACCTGTTACAAAATGATAAAACTCCCATGAATATACATAAAAACAAAAATGTCAGAAGTCACTGATATCTGTGCCAAGAATAGCCCATTGGATGAATAGAGAAAACACAGCACTGTGTTTCTTAGAGAACATTTGACACTTCGAGAGCCGTAAAGAGAGCATGTGGACATAGAAATCTGTTCCTTATTCTGATACCTGTTAGTCATTTCACTTGGTTATTATTTTGGGTGAGAAATTATTTCATACATGTAAATCATTTGACTTAAGTCCATATGATCAATATACATTAACCAGTGTCTGTGAGAAAACCACATCTCAGCAAGGTAATCACACCCTTCTCCCCCACCCTCACGGCACTTTTGTTTACACAACACATTCTCCATTTCTGGGCTTCCCAATTCAGGCGCAAATCAATGAATTTGACGAGAGAAAAGTAGGGTCTTGATCCCTGGCCTGTCGTCACATGAAGTCACTTGGACATCATATCACTATAATTTCTCAAAACCAAGTAACAGGATCAAGTTATCTTAAATTCTTTGTAACTAAAAATTATGGTTTCATGAGTCAGAAATTAGAGCATCAGTCTCCCAGACTGGGAAGTAGAGTGAAACGTCTACAGATACAGGATATTCGAATGATGATTAAGAAAATAACAGAAGTCAATCAAATAGCCACATCTCCTGTTTTCTAGACAGTGAGAGTTTCTTTCCTGCACACAAGGCACCAGGAGCGCTGCAGCGGTGGAGGGGAGAGGCTGCAGCACCCGGGTCTCCTTCCCCAAGGCCGTCCTGCTGCTCCCCACAAGCCACGCTTGGGCTCTGGTGTGTGGTTTCCAGCTGCCCAGGGACCTTCGTTCCATTTTGTGTCCACAGAAGGCTCAGCACCTTCCTTGGAGGAATCTGAAGGGGCTTTTGGTTTATTTGTGTTTTAGCCAAACAAATTGGCTTGAAAACCAATTGTGCAGCAATCTGACAGACTGCTCTGGGCTAGAGAGAGCTTCCTCTCAACATCCACATGGATAACTCTAATGGAATTCCTAACTTGAATTGGAAATATAAAAAGTGCACAGGTTCTAAAGCTACTGATCCTAAAATTATGTGTTTCCAGATATACCCCATAGTGTGAGGGCAGGTGTAGAAGGAGAAAAGTCTGAATCAGAGTCTGGATAAGATACTAATAACTCTCTACAAAGGCTAGTTGAGAAGGGATTAATAAAAATATCAAGAACCATCAGGTGGCCAAGGGCGCACAGAGTAGCTCAGTGCTAACCTCTGGCACTTCTAGAGAGGCAGGAGAAGGGTTCACTCTAGAGACGCAGGATCTCAGGGGAGGATGAAGCCTTCCTCAGGCCACAGCTCAAGGGGAGTAATTATTATTATGATTATTTTTGCTCTAATACTTCGCCTCTTTCCTTCCCACCAGTGCTTCCCTTTGGGTAAGCCCAATCAGAAGCCAGAGGACCTGAGACAATGGGCCCAGGGCTCAGTTTCCAAGAAAGAAGCAGAGGAGAAAAGCACAGAGCAGTTCCATGAGGAACACTGCTGAGGATCAGTGGAGAGAGCATCTGTCTGCAGCCTGTGGGTCAGATCTGCCTGATAGCAAGTCAGCTGCTTCTTCACAAAGACCTTCTATTCTCTCTGGGAGTCATAATGAAAGAAACAGGCAGACTGAGGCAGTGGTTGGAAAAGTGAAGAAAGAACTGGGTGCCAAAGCTGGAGACCAGCTAGGGATTGGAACAAAACAGACTGGGTGCTAGGATGGATCTCAACATTACTGGGCATCAGAACTTGGGTGTATTTTACATTGATTTTACTATTCAGTGGAAGTTAGGGTCCTGGACACGATCTTCCTGGGCAAAATATGACCATACAAAGTTCAGTCCTTGTAATGGGAAGCACATGTTTTCACAAGCTATAGAATATGCAAGACAAAAAGAGCCCTTACTTTTAAAATGTTTCCCCAAACTCAATTTTTACTTTGGTCCTCCATTTCCCCAGACAACGTAATCTACATCAATTCTGGGTAAACAGTAATTTTAAGATTTAAAAATTTGTTGACTCAGGATTCACTCTCCTTTTCTTTTTCCTCAGAGTCGCATCTCAGTTTCTAAGATTATTTGTAACACTGTGAACATGAGAGGCTGCTTCTGAGAGATAATCTTGGGAGAAGTTCAAACACCAGTTTTGTTTTTCTGCCCTTGGTTCTGCAGGTGAAGACAAGGGGAGCAGAGATGGGGGGGGGGGCGAGTGGAATGCAAATCGTTTTGTCAGCTTTTGCTGTCTTTATCTGACCTGTTAGTATCAATAAAGGTGAGAACAACAATAACAGAAAGTCAGCGATTCTTAACAGAAAGAATCTTATCCAGTCCAGAAGCCGAGTTTCAGCCCTACATTTGTTATGAACAATCTGTGCAACTTTGCAAAACTTACTTAAACTCTCTGGACACCCACTTTCTTATTTGTAAAAGAAGGATCTTGGAGATTTGTTTAACTGTATAAATTATTATAAACATCATTTTAGTGAGATGACTTAAGTTAGGAAATAAGTTTCGCTAGTAATGCGGGGTAATGTTGGAATTATATGTTAAAGAAGAAATAAAGCAGATTTAGATAGTAAATTTTGGGGGGTATTTATTGAATTTTATAGAAACAAAGTATTTGGAGTAAATTCAGCAGTGGTATTCCTTTTATGCTTTCCTTCTAGAAACATCCATAATTTAGTGAGTAATGGGTCTCTGGTGCGTGTGTGTGTTTTCTTCAAAAGAGAGAGGAAACATTATTTTTTAAAATAATCTGTGAATTAAAAATTTGAACCTGCAGATGGTGCTGTGGTCCCATTTTGGATTTCAGTTTTGCATTCTAGTTTAAATTCTTAGTAAAAAACTCAGTTCTTGGATTTACTTTATTTTTATTCACAGGTAATAAAATTGAATTATTTCTTTTTATTTTTGTGTTTTGTTATTATAATAGGAAAGAAACTATCTTTACCAATGGAAGCATCTACTGTTATTCTTTGTGGATACTTGGATACTACATTCTTCTCTAGAGGAAGTAATAATCAACTTTTATGTCTTTGTCTTTTCTTTTTTCTGCTCATCTTTTCAAGTTTGGTTTGTCTATGACTCTCAGTCAACACTCCTTGTTGTTCTTCACTAAAATTGCTTCATTGAAAATTGGGTGACGAAAAGCTCAGGTTAAAAAAATTCAATATGAATTCAATCTCTAGTTTGTAATAATCAGGTAAAAAAAGATTTCCTGGAATTAAGCCACAGGAACTCTGGCTTCAGTCAGAACTGTCAACTGCGAAACAAATTTCCAGACATTTTGAGATTTAATTCATTTAATTTTTCTTGTAACTGGATTAGAAAATACGATTAAGCATAGCAGGATATTCTTTTACTGGATCAGTTTGACTTTGAATGAAGCAAATGGATAGAAAAATCTCAAAAATAGGAGAAAGGGAATTTAGAGACATTCTTCCTTGAGAAACATGAACAAAAATATAAAAGGATAAACACATAGGAAAATATAAAATAATACAAGGAAAAATGGTAATTTATTTTGCTGTCAATGAAGCTGCTTATGTGGCTGCATTTTCACCCTAAACTCTGACTGAGTATATGCCAGACTTCTTAAACTTGAAAACCACATGAATAAAAGTTAAATATTTACCAAATTATTCCATAAATGCTTTGCAACTAATACTTTTGAGTCCAGTTGCCAACTGACTGTGTTTGATGAAATCACAATCTGTGGGTGTGTGTCTAGGGATGGACAAAAGACACAAAGTAATTCTACAGAGTGCCAGCCTTTATAAAAATGATGAGCACAACTTTCAGAATGTGTAAAAAATTTAATTCATTTAGGTATGCATTCAATTATTTATTTTCAATTATTTGAGATCATGTATGTGAAAGTACATTGGGAGTTATGACATTTTATGGAAATTTGCATAGCAGTACTACTTCAACTATTACACTGTGAATATTAAAATCCTTCTGAAACATTCATCTTAAGATTAGATTTAAGTTAAAGGGAAGTTAATAATAAAAAGATAGGCAATGATTTCTAGATGCTTTTAAAATTAGGATAGATCTCAAGAAAGATTAAATAAGGTTCTACATGAACAGCATATAATTTTTTTAAAGCACTAGAAGAACTGATGCTGTGTGGTAATGGAGAGTTACACATTTGAAAGCATAATGAATAAGGTGTTTTTTGTTTTCTGCATCTGTTCCTGCACATAAAATTCTTATTTTCTGAAGGTACTCCAGCAGCCTTCAATATAATACCAACCATTCTTTTGCTTCATGACTTCTAATTTCAGGTTAAAACATTGCACATTAAACTTAGTACCTCTTGTTGTTTAAATAAAAATAAATCTCCTTTCTATGTCTTATGGCTTAATGTTACTCACTATAAATTTATACAAATCAGACATAATGACAATTAAACAAGAATTGTAAGCCTTGTTCATCCTGTGGGAGTACTACTGTGACGTCTTTCGGGGTGCTTTGTGATTGCTCAGCCCTAAGTATAAGCCCTATAAAATGATGGGCTTTGAAATGCTGGTCAGGGTAGAGTGAAAAGCAGTTGGCTGCAACAATAGCCAACTCATAGCTATTACCAAGTTCTAGTTCAGCTCTAAAGGCAGAGGACGGGTGGAGTCTTTCTCTGCCTCACAGGAGTTCAGCACCTGGGACAGCTCCCACACACCTCTATAGAAAGCTCCTAAGGTAACACTACTCAGCAAGGTAAGTGAAGAAAATCACCATTTTCTTATTTTTTCTTCCCTTTCTTCTGTAAGTTTTCTCAGGGAATACTGAAATTTTCTCTCTTTTAAAAATAATTCTACAGTGTTCTGTCTTTACTCAAAAGGACACATATCTCAAGTCACCTGGTAAGTATAGAAAAGCCTCAACTTGGATTTTCTGAATTATTTTATTTGAAAGGTGCTTTATGCTTCCTACTTTTTACTTAAAACTTTAAAAAATACAATGTTTTTTTTCACTGTTGTGTACATTTTTGATTGAAATTTTCAGTGGGTACATTGGTTTTTGAAGTTCTTAAGTTAGTTTTAAGTGCTGGTCTTTCTATTTCACATGCTGGTTACATTACATGAACCTAGGAAGCATTTATTTTCTTTAAGTTGAAACGCTGTCATTCTATAGACTGCAAGAAAAACATATCCTAAACTTCTAGTTTTCTGTTTACAAAATACTGAGAAATAAAATTATAATATTTTATTACAAATGGAAGAGATGGGAAACATAGCAACAATACATAGACATTATTTAAAATATATTTTCCTTTCATGTCAAAAACAATTGTAACACGTGATTTAATAATGTTTGGCTTTAATTTTCATTGACTTAAGTTTTTAAAACCCAGGTTGGAGGAAATAAGTTCCCATAAAATCTAGAATTAAAATAAGAAAAGTGGATATATACTATATACAAAATAATTGTGTACTGTTTTGAGTATACATACATTGAGTATGTATACATTGAGTATACATACATTACTACCTAGATGATACTCTGGTTTTCTATTAATTAGATATTAAAAACTTAAAAGTTAAGAGACAGTGATTTCTTTGAAGCAGTTTCCTTAGTAAAGATTTGAATGGCACAACTCTGATAAAAGGAGGCTTACCACACAACTCATTCTGGCACAGGTGTGGTCTTCACTGTAAACTTGGGTTAGGTGAAAGGATTCTAATTTATATGCAAGCACTTGTCACCAAGAAAAATCTTCTTGTGTTAAAAGAAATCTTATTAAAGCTCCTGCTTTTCTACAAGAAAGTTCCTTTTTTTAATCAATTCTGAACAAGATTTTAGAATTTGCTGTGAGACACTCAGAATTACTTTGTTGGTGATACTTGTGATGAGAAAAGCTGACTTGATTATCTTTTGAGGTGCAGAGATGGAAAACAGAAGTAAGTCCCAGCTACTCCTGCTCCTGACACTTTCCATCATGTTCTTCTCCCAAACACTGGCGTGGCCTCTTTTTGGAGTGCCTTCTGCTCTCAGGTAAATTCTCTTTCCAGCAGTCACTTAGACACACTTCTTCGTCATCAATACAGGAATTTCCTATATCTTATATTGGACCATTCAAATTTTAGATGCTTTTTTTAAAAAAAAAACATAATGCTTAATTAGTCTGAATTCTCAAATCCATGAGAAGATGTTGATGATGAGAACCTAGGTTTGTGGATATGGTTCATCACTTTTCCAAGTGAGATGCAAGGGAGATATGAATTTTCTTTCATTCAAACCCAGTTTTAGATAAACAGTAAACTTTTAGGTATTGTCATCTCAGCTTATTTCAGTCTCTGTTGAAAAACAGATGTTCGGTATTAACTCAGTTCAGTTTTAAGATTAATTAGTAAGTCGTAATAAGGTTAATTATTGATTTGTAAATGTATAAAGTAATGTTACTCAAAAATCTACCTAGCATGAATCAATTTATCAGTATTAAAAATTGTGAGATAACTGACCTACTGAGACACTGTCTCTTAATGAATTTGAATGCACTTGGTTTTAACAAATAAATACTCACCTACCATTCTCTCTATATTGCATTTTATATTTCAAATTCTTCATGTAACACAGTTCATACACAACACTTTATCCAGGGAAAAATAAATGTACTCTTAAAAAGTAAACAGTTGGTGATGGCACATGGGTGATTTGCTGATGGGAAGCCCAAGGGGATTACAACTGAGATGGAAAAATGCACAAAATGATGTAAAAATAAACTATTATATATATAAAAAGAAGTAAACAGTAGGTGAAAACTACATTAGTTTGATCTTTTCTCCTGGTTTACAGGCACTACTTTAAGGGAAAATAATCATTTCTTTGCTGATTTTTCCATTCCTGATTTTTTGATTTAGGTAAACATAAATCTCTTAGTGGCTAGCGCTCTATGAAATCTGCTTAAGCTAGAACTTAAGTGCTCTGTTAATCAAATGGAATAATTCTATCTGAATGGTTATATCACAACAGATGAATAATCACAAGAGTGCTAAATCTTATACTGACTGCCAGGTTCTTTACTTAGAGAGGTCTGCTCCTTGTTTATTAGAAATTCTACAATAACACAGAAGATACCCCAGAGTCTCCACAATTGTTGGAGGTTTATCTATCTGAAAATGTACATATGTATAATTGTTATATGCGCCAGTATTCAGAATATGTACACATATACAAAAACAGTCACAGTCTATGTACAAATGTGACTGTTCATAGTCTTCTAATAAAGCATTGTGCACATTTATTATTTATTTATATATAAGATTAGAAGTAGAAAGTCCTTTCAAAATTTGCTGAATTTGAATAGCAACTCAGAGGTAGATTCTTTGGTCTTGCTTAGTACAAAGGAATATATCACACTAAATGAATTTTGAGATGAAGTTTAGGACCTAGAGAAAGAAAAGCAATTAATAGTCATCTCTTGAGAAATATTTGAAACAAATGATACTAAATATCAGCAAGTATATGAATTGTTCTGTTTTCTTATTAAATATGAAAAATTTTTGAAGTTTCTTTTATATAAAATCTTTCACTGTGAAAGTGAACTTAGCAAAATGAATCTTCTGCAAAGAAGCATATTTTGCTTCATGCTCTGTTAGGAGACCATACATGGCACTTATGCTTGGTATATGGACACAGCTTTGAAAATTTATGTGACATCTATGGAATAATTAAATATTCACTTATATTTATAAACCATAGAAGGAATTAAATCCAATATAGTGTGGCTAGGTAATATTTCCCAAGATTTTGACTATCTTATTTGAAATAACTGTAAAGCCATAAGACAACCTTCTGAGAAAGGAATGTATTATCTCCTATTATGTCCTTTCCTAATAGACTGGGTGACAGAATGCAATTTGAAGGAGCAAATGAACCTGATCAAGTGTCACTAAAAGAAGACACTGAGTTCCTGCAAAATGCACTAGCTGAAAATGACACACCCTATTATGATGTATCCAGGTGAGTTTATTTCAGTTGAGTTTTATTCTAGAAAAATTTATTTTGAAATATAAATGTCCAATTTTAGTCTTACCACAAAACCTTTCCTATAACAAAACACTGTAGGTTTTTAGCTCTCCAGGATTTTCGTGGAGTGAAGATGCAACAGGTTGGAATGAGCAAATCATTCACTTACATTCCACTGTGAGACATTTCAACATCAGAAACCTTTTCAATTCTAGTAAAACTACACTGGTTAGGATTCCACGATGGAGAAAGTTCTAAGGCAAGAGTTTCACCTCTACATGAAGAAAAGGGCTCCAGTAATAGGCGATGATTATTTCAGAACCATTTATCTAGAGTGGCCTTCAAGTAGAACAGAGCAACTCTGTACTTAAAAACAAAGTGTACTTAAAAAAAAATCCTTATTTAAATGGAAAAGTTCTTTGACGGACCCTAAGCCCCTCTCTCTCTTAAGGGACTTTGTTTACAAATATTTTGGTAGGAGAAATAACAATAGATTTTCTGCTCAAATTAGAGAATTTTCCCCCTTTTATGTATCTCTACTCAGGATAGAAAAATTTCCATAAAAAATAAATAGGAACTAATTTAAATATATTTCCCAACAATATTTCTTAGAGAAGAATTCGTTTTATGTATTTAATATTGGGATAGACTGCTAAGAAAGGAAATTTCTATTAAATTTTCAAATTGGGGGTGGAAATACAGAAAAAAATCTTGATATTAAGTGACTAGCAAATATTTCTTCCTAGGTTATTTACTTGTCAGGGTTTAAATGTATATGAGGAGCTTTGGAATTAAGTTTCATTCTTGCTTAGTGAACCCAATAATTTATAGAATAGTGACTAGCTTCTCCTTGTTTCAGGAATGCAAGGCATGCTGACGGGGTTTTCACCAGTGACTACAGTCGACTGTTGGGTCAACTTTCTGCCAAAAAGTATCTTGAGTCCCTAGTTGGAAAGCGAGTTAAGTAAGCAGAATTTATGACTTTTTAAAAACATACTAGTGATATTTAATCTACAAATTATATGTTCACTGTTTATTTTAAATAATTTATATTCTAGAATAAAATACACCAGGTCTATGAATAAAGGAAATAAGGCTTTCTAGTAATGTCATACCCACTGGCTCAAGACAAATATTTTTCTTTAAATAGTCATTTATAAATCTGCAATCAAATTGAACTAGACAAAGTAATAAATAAATAAATAAATAAGGCATAGTATAACCTGAAGCAAATTTTAAGGTTAACCATAGTGCTTGATTTCTACTTCCAGCTCAAATCTAGTTCTGGAAGATTCTCTGAATGGTCACTGACTGACTACTTGGCTGACTCTGTCAGGAGACATAGGTGCTAAAGAAGCTTTTATCTTTAAAGAAATCCTAATGGCAGAACACAACCAAGTGTTCTCTTTTCGTTTTTCAATAAACTCTTTGCTTCATTAGTACCAAATGTGTCTTAAGTCACTCCCTGTAAGTGCCAAATCATGTTGGATTATTTCTTACTCATTTAACTTTGGGATAAGATGCATTCTTCATGCAATTTTTTGTGATCAAAAAAGAATTGAGTACTATCTCCTTTTCATCTGACACCAAAGAAATTAGGATCTCTATTTCTTCTTAAAATTTTGATGTTTTTTCCTCCCATTCCTTAGCAATAACATCTCAGAAGACCAGAGACCAATCAAACGCCACTCAGATGCAGTCTTCACTGACAACTATACCCGTCTTCGGAAACAAATGGCTGTAAAGAAATACCTGAACTCAATTCTGAATGGAAAGAGGAGGTAAAAAAACAGAGAACTTGCCAAAATGGAAATTATAAGTGACTTACAAAATAGAAAGTGTGGAGACACACTTTCTATTTCTCTGTGCTCTATAAAATAGTAATTCTTCACCTAGGCTAAATGAGATTACCCTAGAAAATCTGTCAGATATTCACATCTGGGCTTTATCCAAAACCAACTGACAGGAAATTTGTGTCCCCAGGGCATAGCTGTAGTCATTGCTATTTTTTGTTGTTGGTTTTAATTTAAAAGAGTTTCTGTAGTTGGTCTATTGTGCCTGCACAATTAAAAATGATGATTATGAAGGCAACTCGCCTGGGGGAAGGTTTTACCAGAAATGCTAGTTCTAAAACATATAAAGTATAGTCAATTAACAATTAGAAATCCCAGCTGGGATTCCCATAATAAGCATATTATTTTCCTAAATTAATTCATGAGTTCTGTCTTAGTTTCTGTAAAACCTATGTCTCACTATGTTGTGTGAATTTGGAACAAAATGAATAGAAGTGGGTATTGTTTTTATTCTAATTTTATTTACATGGTGAGTATTAAGGACAATTCTCTTTGAGTGAATTCCTCCCTTTAAATGAGGAAAATTCATAAATAATAGCTAACCCCAAAGATAATCACATAGCCACTAGCACACTTCACAGCCCAGCCGCACAGCATCATTTCTTCAGAAACTTTCTCATCTAAGAATGTTAATGTAGTGATTTCTGTTTCTGATCCACAGCAGTGAGGGAGAATCACTTGACTTTCCTGAAGAGTTAGAAAAATGATGAAAAAGCTCTTTGGGCAGTTGCCACCAACTTCTCAATGGTGGGTATATCTGTGCATTTTGATTATATTATTACTACAGTTATCTAAGTAAGTAAGAGTCTCTTGGAAAGACTAAATCAGAGCTCACAGGTGTCATCGTGACCTCATCTAAGGCCTGAAATAACCCCCACACTCATCTAACAGCTTCGAATGACTTACACATTGTTCCTGTCACATAACAGGGAGAGATCGCAGTTTGGTATCAGATGATACTCCTAGTTTCTCTGATTTTTTCCTGTCTTTCATTTGAGATATAAAACAGAGGAGACTGACTCACCCTTCTAAGAAAAACTGGCCTTCTGTTTGAGAAGGCAGCCATTTTGCTTTTATCATTGTAAGGTTTTATCCCCTGATTGACTATTAACATCTCATCTAATTCAAGTTCAGTGAAATGCCAGCAAGCTTGTTATAAAAATCTGGAGGCACACAGGACCCCATGGCATTCCTTGAAACATGTTGAACTTATGTAGCAAAAAAATTGAATCCAACTTATTATTATTTTTTTTACCTGTTCATTGAGTGTAGGCACAATCATCCCAATAGTGTTCATGGGAAAATATTTTTTGAGCAGACAGAAAAGGAATATATGGCTTCTTTTGTGTAATATGAAGCTTGTTTTTATGTAAACATGGATAAAGACACATTTCTTTCCTGGAATTGCATTAGTTGCCACAATAATTCATAAAAACATGTTTTACAATGTTAAGACAAGTGCATAAAGAGATTCTATGTCTGATGGCATCTATCAGAAGCTGGCAAACTTTCTCTCTAAAGGACTAAAGCACAAGTACTTCTGGATTTGTGGTCTATGCAGTTGCTGGCACTCAGCTGCACAAGCCTGAGGCCGCACAGACAACACAGGCCATGGTGGGGTGCGGCTGCCTACGGAAAATTTACTCATAAAACCGGAATACAACCGGAATTTACTCATTTAGCCGGAATTTACTCATTTAGCCGGAATTTACTCATAAAGCCGGAATACAACCTCCAGTAATAGGAGACTAAATCACAGCCAGGCTCGGGTGGAAGCAATTCAGTGTCTTATTTCAGTTCCCAGAGCATGAGCGCCAGTAAGAGTGGACAGGACCACTGGCTGCTTTTGTGCCCCGATTACCCTTCATGCAAGAGAGATGTGTGTTTGGGGCACCTCACACGCATTGCTCATCATGCGGAGACATTTCAGAGACCCAGAGAAGAAAGTTCATCACTTACAGATTTTAGACAAATCAAAAGAAGTCTCTCCATTAAATTGGGAAATACATTAGGCACTAACATGGAAGGGGGAGTTATTCTGTCCCTTGTCAGCTGTAAGATTATTTACAAGATCCCAGCTTTCATTATTTTCTTATTTCAATGGGTAACTTTGGGCAAATTCTTTTAACAAGAAATCCTGTGAGTCAATTACAAATGGGAAACCATTTAGGACTAATTAGAGAGGGAGATAGATGGAAACATGGTCCTCGCTCACAAACAGAAATAGGTATTTTTTTTAATAGACAAGTAAAGAAAGCTAAGATGCTGTAAATAAAAATGCTTTTATGCTTAAAACATTTTTTTTTGTTTTTCAGAATTTTGAAGGAAAACTATAGGCAAAACAATTATATTTTGAGTTCTACATCAGTAATTCAAGAAAACAACTTTAATATCAAAACCAAATAAAGTATATTGTGTTGTGAATGTTGTGACATTTTATTCTAATGTAATAACTGTGATGTTTACATTGTAAATATTACTTGAGAGTTCTAAAAATTGTCTGTAAGTCATGAAAGTCCTGTAATTTCATATTCTATGTATCCTTTCTAAAGAAACATATTTAATGATAAGTAAATACTTGATTAATTCCAATTACATGAGGCTTTTGGAAAGGGTAGCAATAGAGCAAAATTAATGTGTTTATTTATAGCATGTACTTAACTATTCAGAAGAGCAGAGCAGATAATCAGTGTGTCTATATTTGAATATTAAGCAGATTGAGTACTGTGTTAAATAAATCTCAAAATGTCTAAAAGAATACCAACAGGGAGCTAAAGGCAGTCTTTAAAAAAAACTTTTAGAAAATGCTATGCCTTTCCAAATTACTAGACATCCTTGATTGTGAATATGGTTTAAAAATCCTTCAAATTTGGATCTCTAAATGCCAAAGACTCGTCTGATCTAAGGTTTTAGTTAATGAGAATGACTTCTACTTCTGATATTGGGACTTTCCTTTATGCTTGTGTTAAGCAGGTGTCACATGTAAACTGAGTGGATCTTTATTTTTTCCAATAATATTTTTTTTTCCATAGTCGCTAGAATAATGCTTGGGTCAAACCAGACTTTTTCGGTGAAAGTACATTTGGAGACAACTATTTTTCAAAAATGATTGTGAAAACTTAAACATAGAAAATAAAGATCTTTGATTATCATTGCATATACTTTCTATCGTTTCTATTCTTTTTAAAAAGATTTTTTATTTATTCATACAGAACTGGGGTATAGGCCAGAAATGTGGAGGGTGAGAGGATTCACCAGGGACAGAGCAGGGAGCAGAACAGTCAGATTGACGAAGTACACTGCTGAGGGGAGCAGCGGGCAGGTCAGGAGAGGACCATGTGGTCACCTCCGGGGCAGGCGGGGATACAACTCATGCGGAAGTGGCTTAAGCTTCTTAGTGCTGTGCTTTAACCCGCTGCGCCACCAGGGAGGGCCCTGTTTCTATTCTTTAAATGATGTATCAGCAAATTGTTTTAGCTCTAAATTCAAGACACTGAAGTTTTGTGATATTTGAGAGAGAATTATCTTTGTGTGTAAGTCTGAAAGTAACAGTGACATAAAAAGAAATTTCTTTCTCACAAAGAGCAGAAGTAAAATGGTTAGCGTAATGATTCTGCTCTATTAAGTTCTCAGTGACCTAACCCCCTCTCAGCTCACCCCTCTCCTCTGTCCTTCTCTTCTTGATACAAAATTGCAGCTGGTGTTCCAGCTATCCTGTATGCATTCCAGGTATCAGGATGAAAAAAGAAAGGAACATGAATGCAAAGGAAACATGGAGTATATACTGATATAATAGCATCTCCTTGAATAGAACAGAACAGTCTTAGAGACACAATCATTTGCACAAGTGGGCAGGATTTTTTTTCTTGAATGGCCATGTGCCCAGCTAAGAACAAGGGCTCCATCAATAAACCAAACCAAAAGTATAAATATCTGTAAAGATTTGTTGTTTGTATTATTGTTTTGTGAACCTCAGGTTATGGATCTTAAATTCACATCAACCAGCTTAGAGAAATGACAGGGAGAATCAAACTGACTTCAACGGTTAATCAAGAATCATCTACATCATCACACAAAGGTGTGCTGCTTTTAAAGCAAATGACTGAACAAGCCCTGAGCAGTCTAAAGAGTTACAGTTACGCAGCAGTTTACAGAAGTTGAACTGAATTGGGCTAAGAGTATTATTTGTTCATCTCCAAGTCCACAAATTATTTAATATTTGTGAAGGGCACTACAGTGAAAACAGAAAACTTGGAGATGTTATTTGAATGTAAGGAGCTTTTGAAGATCAATTGGGGACATAATTGTAGTGTGAATGTGAAGCTGAAGAGGCTAAATCTGACCTTATTAATGTAAAAAGATTTACACGCCTTGTTCCTTCAGGAAGTACTTAGCGAGTAGCTGATACGCAATGTAGCTACCTGACAGATGACTGTCCTGGCCTGAGGGCACAGCTGGTGCCAGTGAGGGAAGCACCTGGCACATATGAGAACACAGACACGAGGGTGGGTGACAGGCTGGAGCAGTGTGAGTGGCCCCGGGCCGATTAGGAGGTGCTGCCTAGGAGCACCCAAGGATGGGGTGCACCTTGTGGGGCTTCCCGGGCCACTGTAAGCACCCAAGGAACGAGTAGAGACAGCGCAGAGTTTTGAACGACGTTGGGGCATGGGCTGGACTGCATTTCAACGGGATCGTTTTGGTTGCTTCACTGGGGACAGCGTGAAGAGGTTGTAAGGGCAGAAGGAGGGAGACAAGGGAAGAGGCTGCTGCTACAAATCAGGGGAGAGATGGCGGGTGCCTGAACTAGCGGCACAGGTGGTGTGCCGGGCCTCTCAGTAGGTCCTGAAAGCAGAGGCAAAAATGTGCTACTAAGCTGAAGACATGTAAGAGAAAAGTTAAGATTGATTCCAAGTGAATCACCTGGGAGACCCGAAGGCTGCATTGCTGGTGCCTGACAGGGAGAAGGCTGAGGGGGTGGGAGGAGGGGGCACCATGGTAGACCAGGAGGGTAGTTTTGGACATGTTGAAGGTGACTTTGTGAGGCTTAGCAGATACCTGTATGGAGTCCTGAGGAGATGACAGACTGGAGATAAACAGGTGAGACGGGGTTTCAATGCATAAGTTGATGCGCTCTCTAAGGTTCTGCAAGTAGCCACAAGAGACCGTCACCATGTCCCTGGGTGACTGTATCCCAGTGCTGCCTTAACAGGAACTGCAATCTTGGGGGCTTAACCAGCAGAAATTTACTGCCTCAGTGTCGGGAGGCAGAAGTCTGAGGTCGAGGCGCTGCAGGCGTGCCTGGCTCTTGTGCCCAGTGAGGGGCTATGCCATGGCTCTTCTCTGCCTCCCAGTGGTTGCTGCTCAACTTTACCTGGGGAAGCATCACTATCTCTGCTTGGTCTTTGCGCAATGGTGTTCTGATCCACATTTGTCTCTAGATTCTTTTTTTAAAGATTTATTTATTTATGCATACAGAACTGGCTACAAGCCAGAGGTGCAGGGGTGGTGAGAGGCTTCACCAGAGACAGAGTGGGGAGCAGAACAGGCAGATCAACAAAGTACACTGCGGAGAGGTGCAGTGGGCAGGTCAGGAGAAGTCTGCTGCGCCATGTGGGTCACCTCTGGGGCTGGGGATCGAACTCGCACTAATGCTGCTGCAGCTCACTTGCAGTGCTGCGCCCTAACTTGTTGTGCCAGGGAGGGCCCTCCAAACTTCTTTTTTACATGAGAACAGCCCCAAGACTGGATAAGGGCCTGTACTAATGATCTCTTTTTAACTTTGTTTCCTCTGTAAGAACCTTGTCTCTGAAGGCCAGACTCAGAGGGACTTGGGTTAGGGCTGCCTTGTCTATTTCACCGTCCCAGAGCCACCCGGAACGTCTTGCTGTGTCTTGCCGGCATGGATGACTTGGCTGTGCTGCAGGAGGCTCTGATTTGTGAACATCGACTTCACCCTCCTTCGCCCTCTGCATCCATCCTTCTCTTTAGAACCTCGTCTGTCTAGAAACGGACAGAATCTGCCCAGCCATGGAGGTTTCCTTGGCAATGCTGCGCCCTTTCCACGTCAGCACGGCCTGTAATTTCCTTCCTCCTGGAAACTTCACTTTCCAGTTTTCCCTTCCCTCCTGCCTTGTTCTCATTCCCTGCACACCCTTTGCTACAATAAATTAAGGCTTCGCTCTGAGTTCTGTTGAGCTGAAACTTCTGAGGGTTGTGTGTGTGTGTTTCAAAGGTAGTTCAGGATAGAAATGCCAATCATTGAACATTTCAACTTATTGTGTCAGAAACAATAGTTAAGAGTTTTTTTTTTTTTTGCAATAAATTTTAAAATGACAATCTCGAAAGATGTTTTCTTCTGGATTAAAAAGAATTTAAAATATAAAAGATGTGTCTGAATGTCTTACGTGACTTTCATTTCAACTTTGGTTACTGAGTGGAGTCCTTCCTGAGGCTTTGTGATTAACTTAAGTAAAGGGAAACTTCCATTTTTATCCTGATTTATAATTGTAAATTAATGCAAAATTATCAACGCAATCTCTCTTTGTAGTGGAATTACATTTTAATAACTGCAGAACCGTTATTAGCAAATAATAGATTTCGGTTTACTCTGTGGTGGGTGGAATATTTTTTTGCAACATTAACTGATGCCGTAGGATTTCATATCTTATGAATGTGATCTTGCCACATCACAATGATGGGCAGATAATGGTCCCTCAAGTTGTCTTGACCCCTGAAGCCTATGAGTGTTACCTTACATGGCCAGAGGCTTTGCAGACATGACTGGGAATCATTGCAGAGAGAAATTTGCCAGATCCTAGCCCAATGAAACTACAAGTAGTCCAATGAAACCGCAAGTCTTTTAAATATGGGATTTCTGACAGCTGGAACTGTAAAATAATTTTGCATTGCTTTAAGCCTCCAGGATTGGGGTAACTAGTTTTGCAACCACAGGCAATGAATACAATCACCCCATTCCAGGTATAATACAACAAGAGTCTGACCTTCATTGATGTAGGGAAGGTTGGTATAGAAATGACTGAAATTAACATGACTTTCAGTGTCACCCTAGGGAGAAATGCAAAACCTAGACATCCTGAGGAAAACCCAGAAAAGACTACATTGATTATAAATTACCTGAGATGATGCTCTCATAGTCCAATGTAGGAGGGACCTGAGGAGCAAATGAATTTGTTTTATAAAAAGTGTCTGTATTCTTGTCCATCTGAATTCAACATAATGCCCCCTAAAATATCAAAGACCATAGTTTACAAGCCTAAAAATAATATCTAATTGCTTCCTTTGCACAGAAAATCGACACTCCAAAAATGACACGTCTCTAGCTCTTCAGGTTCCTAAGGGGAAATTGAGTCCATTAATGTGTCTGCCTCTTCTCTAGATAGCACTAATTTAGTGGCAAGAGTTGTGCAATACAATTCCATATGAAAGAGTTAAGAAAAAGAGAGCCCTGAGTGGTCTGAATATTGCAATCTCTTTGGGGGGCCGGGGTATGGCACTGGAGTGTGTGTCCACAGGACAGCCGTGGGCCTCAAGGCAGAGCCAAGGCACAGCCGGCTGCAGTGGTCTGCCCCCAGGCCACACAGAGTCCTGCATCTGGGCGAGAGCCTAGTTATTGCTTCTACTTGGAAATTTCTTCCTGGCATCTCACAGAAAAATGTAAGCACTTCAATCAAAACTGAACCTCATGAAAAAATTGGGAAATGGGAAAGACAATGTAAAAAGTGCGGAAACAATCTACATTGAGATGTTTAAAGGAATTCATTTCTCTTAGTTTTCTAGGGCAGCCATAAGAAACAACCAGAGACTAGGTGATCAAACAATAGAAATGTAACGTTTCGTTGTAGTGGAGGTAAGAGATTCAAAAGCAAGCTCTTGGTAGGGTTGGGACGAACCGTGCGTTCACATGGTCTTGCTTCCTCCCATGTGCTGGTTACTGTCCAAATTCCCTTCCTAGGAGGATTCACTGGTCATGTTGAACTAGGAGCCATTCTGTTGGGCACAAACACAGAGGAGCAGTGTCACTAATTCTCTCGAGTTGGAGCCAGTGTGTGCCACGACATTACCCACTGCAGCCTCTGTTTGCCCTTATGCATACAAAAAATGTGAATCTTGGCAAAAATTCCAACTCACCTT